GAAGACTCGCCCTGGCTGGCTGCCTCTGCAGGAGACCACAGGCTGAGCCAGTGGCACCTTTCTCCATCTTCCTCCTCAGCCAGTTGTTTCAGCAGCTCTCTTGTCCTCTTCTCCTGCTTCCTGCAACAGCATCTCTCCAGAATTGGTTGGTCTTAGCTGCTTTACCCCACTTTGTGTATCTGCCTCCCCTCAAGTACTGGGTGATGTCTCCCTTCTCCTGGAAGATGCTCAGGCCTCTTCAAGGCCTCTGTCTGCTTTGCATCGGACCGTCCTGTGCTGCTTCAGCTGTGTTCCCCCGGTGTCGAGGCTCTGCAGCAAGCGTGGTTTTGCATAGACTGCCAGAGACATCTGTGCTGCTACATGAAAATGGTCTGGTTCAGGAGGGTGTGATGGGACTGAAGACTCGCGGGGAAATCCCCAGCATGTCTAATACCCCTAGTGGATGGGGAACCTCCCAATGAAGCCATTAGGAGCGGATTTGTTGCTGCTTAAAATGTCAGAGCTGCTTCAGCCAGCCTGACTCAGGGGTGAAATTTGCTCTCTGGGAGGGAAAAACTCCCAGCAGTGCTAGATGGAGACCAGCCCATGCTAAGTATCCTGGAAGCAAGAAAATTAATCTCGGAAGAGGCTGCTGGCCCAAATTCCAAACCTATTAGGCATTGCACAAGTGTACCCGCTTATCAAAAGCAAATGAAAGTGCAGAAGGTGTGTCTGGCCTGATCCTGTGTTTAACTTGGCAGTCTGTGGTGTGTCAGCACAGGCACTGTGGCATGCATGCAGGCTCTCAGTGCTCTCTGTCTTCTGCTGGGGTGTGCTGCTGAGCGGCCCTTTAATTCTGCTCCTTTCTTTCAGGATCAGTCCATAATGCCTGAGGTGCGAGACCTCGCAGATGCCTTGCCCGAGTCGCTGATGGATCCCATCACGGGTGTTGGTGTGGTTGCGTCCCGGAACCGAGCACCGACGGGTTACGATGTAGTAAGTAGAGCTGTTTCAGCTGCCGTCGTTAATCCTTTGGTTTTGCACTAATAAAACTTTGCTGGGAACAGCATCTCTCCCAGAGAGGGCTTGCTTTCAGCCCTGTGCTTTACGAAGTAGTCTGAAATGCAGCTGCCCACCCCTCAGCCCACAGAATTTGGGGCTTTCCCTCAGTGGAGGGTTGTGGGTGCAATCATGCTACTTCATCTGTGCCACTCCAGAGGAGCATAATTATCTGGAGGAGGGTTTTTCAAAAACAGCTGGTCACAGTGGCATGCAAATTTAATAATCCTAGTAACATTCATCCTGAAGGAGTCCTAAGTATTGCACAAATTATATCTCTGAATAAATGGATCCCACATCAGCTGTTTAATCCCACACATCAGCACTGCACAGTGATGATGAGAAGCTCCAGAATGGGAAGCAGAGAGTTTCCCATCCAGCTGAAATTGCAAGGATGATTTTGATGGACAGAATGCAAACCTCTAAACTAAGCTTTGCCAGGAGGCGGGGCAGCAGGAAAGGCAGCTGGATACAGCAGAGGTGAATGTGTGAGCGGATAAAGGGAGGTCAGTGTTTTCACAGCTGCTTGTTCCTTGGGTCTTGTTCCTGCTGTGTAACCAACAGCACGATTTTTCTCCCCATAGATCAGTGTCCCAAACAGTGAAATATCATAAAATACTGACCTTGCAGAGCTCTGTATGGAAGGATTTGTCCCGTTGTCCCTCTACTCGCCTTTCTCTGTATCTTGCTCCAGCTGTGCTGTGTCACATCTTGGGTTTCCAGAGTCGCACAGCTTGTGCGGTCAGGAGTGGAAACCAGTTGACTCGAGGCTTTGCTCACATCTTTTTGGCTCTGGATCATTGCATACCCTGTTCAGTGTGAGAAGGAAGAAAATGGATCAGGCTGAAGTAAGGACATGAGGGAGGGAATTGTGAAAAGGCTCCTTAAAGACCTGGAAGGTTTTTGCATTTACTGCATTTTTCTGAGTGCTGATTACCTGTGTGAGCCAGGCTGTGTAATTAGCTGCTTGCCCTGATACAGGAGTGCGGAACAATGTGAGAGTTGTGATAACAGAATTGCATTCTGCCTAAATGACTGGGCAGAGAGAGCGCTCACCCCAGATAGCCTGTCTGTGGTTTAATAGGGAGCTTCAGCGCTAACGCAGTTTAAACTAAACAAGATAAAAGAGTCTTCCTGCGGCGTAATCCAGTTACAGTGGTGCTGTAATCATGCCTGTGAATGTGGGTCGCTCTCTCCTAGGGGCACAGAGAGGAGGCTGCCGTTCCTCTGGTTCTCCTGCTTTCCTCTCTGAGCCTGGGGCGGGCAGTCCCCGCGCAGGCGGTGGGGAGGTGCCTGCTCTCTGCAGTTGCCTTACCCTAGGCATGGCTTCCCCATCCCAATGCGTTCAGCCTCGTGTACAGCAGACCAGCAGTCCAGCTCTGTGCCTGCGGTGACAGCTCTGTGCCTGCGGTGAGCTGCCATCGGTGTCCTTTCCACCGTACAGCACATATGGTGATGGGGCTGCTCTGGGTGCCAAGTATTTCCTCTTATTAGTGATGAATTTGATATCGGCTAGTTTCACTGGTGGTTTTGAGTTTTGTGATGGTGAAGTACCCAGTTCTCTTTCTGAGACACCAATGTTATTTATAGGCTTTACCCAGTTTCCCTTTCATTCATGTCCTTTCTCCAGTAAACAATCATTGCCATATTCTTTTCCTTCCTTTTCCCCTTGCTTCTCTTTAAAACAAACAAGCAAAGGCTTAGAAAACAGCTAGTGGAGCTTGTAACGACTGGCCAGGTCTTCTAACGGCTGACGCTCCAAAGACTTGATTTTGCCAAAATGTACAGAGAGCGTCTGAACTTAGACTCCTGAAAATCTGCCCAAACTGGCAAGACTGAGCGTGTGGGTGGGGAGGAAAGGGAGGAGAGGTGGGAGGCAGGAAGCCTGGGGTAGCAGAGAGGTGTGGTTCCCGTGCAGCCGCGTTCCTTGCTGTGGGCTGAATGCCAGCTTCACGGTGGGATTTGCTCTGGGGCGGGAGCCTGAGCGTGCTGCTCACCCAGGGTGTGCTGCGGCAGGACGGCCCTGTGCCCCACCGACCCACCCCGTGGGGCAGGCCACTCAGCACTGCTGCTGGGCAGCCCGTAGATCACCCCACACGTGGAGGGGCGGCTGGGGGACACCTTCCTTCCTGGACGTCACTCCATCAGGTCCATCTGTTGGTAGCACGTGCTTGAAGAGTGTCTTCCCCCAGCTCCACGGGGAGAAGAACCACTCCTTGCGCCTGGGGCACCAAGTGCCCAGCACCAGGTGCTGAGTCCTCCATCCACACGTTCCTCGCCTCTCAGCCAAGCAGAGGACTTGGTGAGTCGGGGCTGCGCAGGGCTCGTCCTGGAGGTCTGCCTCGGCCCCCCAGGTTGGCCCTCCTGTGCTGCCCCACCGAGGGCACGCTGCCAGTGCTCAGGCTCAGCTCTGCTCTGAGAGGTTGTGGGGATCCTCCTTGCCTGCAGGAGCCCAGCAGATGATGTAAGAATTTTCCTGTTTATATTGCTCTGTTTTCTTTCCCCATGAGTTTTCTGACAAGTTAATGCATGCTTACATTCTCCAGGCTTGGAAGAACTCTTCATCAGGATGATGCAGAGGCAGAGCACTCAGGGTTAATTGCAGGGGAAGGGTATGTGGTGTAGGTTGGAGTTTTTTGGGTTTTTTCGTCGTTAACCCAGAGTATAGCAGCACTGGTTTTCCCTTCCTCTGGAGGGGCAGCAGTGCCAACTCAGGGGCCCTTCGGGTGTCTCAGCCAGCTGTGATCCAGCTGTGCCCTGGGCAGTGAGCTGTAGAGGAGATGATATTAACTGAAGTGATGTACTTCCACCTCAAAAATTATTTGGTATTGTTGTAAGTAATGTAAAGTTCCTAAAGCTTACAGAAGTTAGATAAAAAGTGCATCTGACAGCACGCTGTGTAGCACCAGTTTTATAGTTGCAGACTGGGTATGTTGCTGCCTGTTGAGTTTGGAACGTCTTTAACGTGGGAACAAAGAAAACAATCTGGCCAGCACAAGAAAAACTGAAATGTAGAACTCAAACCATGTTAATTAACAAGGTGATTAAATCTGGTTGTAGTCCCTCAAACTTTCTGACGAGGGCCGGAGTTCCTAAGTGTCCATATATGCCAGCAGTTTTTCTAAGCAGTCTGTTTCCTGGGTATCTTCTCCTCAGGACTGACTGACTCAGAGGGGAGGGAGATGCACATGGATTTTATATATTTCTAAACTAGTACTTTAGGAAAGAGGATTCAATTCAAAGAAACTGAAAGAATAATTTAAAAAAAACAAAAAAATGATGCATGTTTCTTTACAGAAGCCTGACTGCAAAAGCTGTGTGTGTCGGACAAAGGCTTGAGCTGAGCAGGAGCTTGTGTACAGCAGCTGCCAAAATGCGCAGAGCAGCCAATGCACTTTGCTCCCTTTGCTGCTCAGACAGTAGACACGCTTTTCTCTCCCGCACTTTGGATAATTGGAGGGTTTTGTCAGCACACATCTCTTGCTTCCTGCACCCTGCCCAGAGTCTCTGCCCGGCAAAACATGGGTGCAAACAGTAACAACAAATGTCAGCTCTTTGTTATCAGGCTGCTCTGGGGCCAAGGTCTTACTCTGTCCATTAAGATAAGGCTTGGAGGAGCTGCAGTGGAGCGGTTTGCCCTCGTCAGAGGGGCACGAGGCAGAAGTTCAGTTCGGCTTCTGTGTGGCTTCACACCACCTCCCTGGGAGCCATCAGACGGGCGCTAGTCTGGTGGGGCGGTCTTATTTCTGCTACCCTTCTGCTTGTGTTTGCCTTCTTGTCTCCGCTCTTATTCGACAAGAAAGCTTTTGGGACAGGGGTTCGTAGCAGCTTGCACTGTGCAGGGCGCATGCCCGGCTGCTGGTGGAGCACAGCCCTTCCCTGGGCATGATCCTGCCTCGTGCCTGCTCCATGAATCGGCTGGAAGGTGAGATCTGTGACCGTTCTCTGCCTGCACACTGTCCCTTCAGTGGAAGGCGCGGGCTCTGTCTCCTTGCGCGCCGTGCTGTGTGTCCTGCTGGTCCGGCTGGACGCAGGGTTGCGCTGGGGAGGGACATTTGCAGGGCGCGTCGATGCACGTGGCACTGCTGCTAACCTCTGTGAGTGCCCAGGGCTCTCCCCGGCTGCTGGAAGCACCTTTTTGGCCTGGGAGCCAAAATTCCTTGATGGCTTTTCTGTGAAAATAGAAGAGTTTGGGCAGTTCCTGTGCTTCGCCTACACAGACCCCTCCTCTCGGCTTGCCCCAGTGCGACCTTGCATGCAGGGTGGTAATGAGAGCCTCAATGTGCTGACTTCTCCAAACTATTGTTTGGAGACTGGAACCAAAGTTGCTGTTTCCTCATTAGAATAGCCTTTGTCAGAGCATCTTTAATCAATGGACTCCCGAGAGACAGCATTTTTAGAACTTCTTTTTATACCTCCTCTTGGAAGTTCTTTGCACTGCACCTCGTGAAGACACTAATGAGATGCTGTGAGAGTTCGGGCTACCGTTAATTAGAAGAGGTCTGCGCAAGAAGTACTGCACATATATTAACTTTATCTTGGCTCACGTCTCCTCTCTCCCTCTGTCTCTCCTTTCCAGGTTGCACAAACAGCAGATGGCTTGGATGCTGACCTCTGGAAAGATGGCTTATTTAAATCCAAGGTCACACGATACCTGTGCTTCACGAGATCATTTTCAAAAGAGAATGTAAGTCCATTTGCTGAGTGTCTGCATGATTTGCATCTGTGCCTGGTATGCCTTACCCAGAAGATGATTCATTTTATGGAGCCAGTTATAATTCGAGCAGGCATTTCCCTGAGTTTGGGTGAGTCAGGAGGCAAACTGCTATGGCTCGATGTTTGCATTTTGTCGATGTTCTTCATGGGAAGAAATCACTGGCAAAATCTGCAATAAAAGCAACAGGAAAAGGAACGCTTGTATTTCAGCAATCCCCTCACACTACTGTTCCCTGCTGTAGCAATGGGTGCTGTGTGTGCTCATGATCCTGATGAATTTCTAGCTGATTAGGTAGGGAAGCAGATGCTGCAGGCAGTGTTGATGAAAGAAGTGTAAGTTTTTAAATCCAGGGGCCAGATATTTTCTTGCAGGATTAGCTTTTCTTTCTTTGTTGTTTTTGGTGCTTATTCTTGAAAATTTGCCCACATTGTGCATATGCTACCTACCACATTCTTGTAATCTTCTAGTATGGCTGGTAAGCGCAAGTTAATTTCTGATTAGTGGCAGTTGTCTGCCCACATCTTCCGTGGAGGAGGGGAGACCATGTGCAGTGAGAGCCTGGTACATTCTGGTGTGTTTTTGGTTGAGGCTAGTGTGAAAACTTCTTCTTTTCTGGAGGAACTATTCAATTCCACAATGAATGCACTCCATCTAGTGGGTAATCCTGCTTTTCGTCGTGTTTTGGATATTCACAGTGGCTCAGCTGTCAGAGTATGGAGTACTGTACCTGTGCTTCCCCAATGGTGGGAACAGAAAAGCCACTGTGACTTCAGAGGCTGATCGTGAGTCCTGACAGGAGAGCCGGAGGCTGCCAATTTCACGTTTGACCTTTATTCCATCCGCTTCCCTGCCTGCCTCTAGATTCAAATAAAGCTCCAGAGCTATGGGAAATATCGCATCCTGGGGTGGATGGACAATAATTGTGCTTTTCATCCTGGAGTACCTGCAGTATCAGGAATAATAGTACTTGCATAGGCAGGGAGGGTATTAAACAGAAAGATTTGTGATGATTTGAGTATTAAGTTTATCTGTGGCTACCTGAAATGTGAGGTTGTCAGAAATAATTACAGGATAGCAGCAACTGCTGGTTGCCAGCGACAGTGTAAATACCCTCAGTGGGTGCCTGTTGGGCTTTTGGCATGAATCCTCTGCCGGCATGGTTTGGGAATGCGTTCCTCATATTGATGAGGAGGGAGTTAAAGGCAGCGTGGGGGGAGGACTGCGCGTCCCAGCTGCACAGCAGCCGGGGTGTGAGGGTTGGCACAAGGCACACACAGCTTCGTGTGTGTGAGCGGCCTTTCCGTGTGGCAGCCACTGGGCTGGTAGACGCTGGTGCCAGTGTGCCAGCCCCTGGGAAGCCCCCAGAGCCGGCCAGCGCTCCTGCTCCTCCAGCTGGGAGGAGGAGGGGACCGGGCTGGTGGGGGAACAGCCTTCTCCCCTGTGCAGGGAGCAGCACCCTTGCCCCTGGTTAGCCCAGCAGCAGCTTTCCCTCCCGTTTCAGTCCTCTCCGGACACAGGGGTATGACTTGGGACCTCCAAGGGTTAAAAGGCCTCAGTCCTCCCCAGTAGTGCTTTGGGTTGGAAGTTTTACTGCTTGGGTTTTTTTTGTTTTTAAGAAAACACTGGGAGCCATTTGTCCTGAAGAGCACGTTGTGGTTAGCAGAGTTAGTGCACCTTGGATACCTGGTTTGTAACAGTCAGTCTGTAGTGCCTCTTGATCAGAATCATCGCTCTCAGCAGCTCACGGTGTTTGACAGATGATGAGGACGTTGCTGGCATTTGAGTGTCACGGTGAGGAGCCCCAGATGGGGAGGCGTCGTGCCCGTTTCTCCAGTGTACATGCAGAGCATCAGTGCTGACTCCCGGTGTTTCAGGCGCTAACGAACTTAGCAGAGGCACCTCCCCTACCTGTCTGCTGTCGGTGGAGGAATGAGCGTTGGTTCAGCTGAAAGTTTCACGCTGATGTAACACAGCCAGACAGTTCAGATAAATAAGACATGAAAGGTGAATCAGCGGTGACCACTTCATCTGCCATCTCTTGTGCCAGGACCACGTTTACTGATACATTCAGGCTTCACAGCATCCAGCGTTGCTCACTCGGAGATGCCCTGGCCAAAGCGGGGACGGAGGGACGTGGGGGCTGCCCGGCCTTGGTCACTTTGCTGGAGCAGGGGACGTGTGCCAGGCTTGTGTGCAGTGGGACAGGGCTGCAGGCGTGGTGGCCCTCCTGGTGAGGGCAGAACCTCCAAACAATAAACTCAGACCTGATCTCCTCTTATTTCAGAGGCTGCAATTTAAATATGTTTTAACAGTTCAGTGTAATAATCTGAGGGTAGAGGTTTGCCTGAAATACTCTGCCAGATAAAAACTAAAGGAGGTACTTAGCAACCAGTAAAACACACTGCGTGGTTTGATGGCTTAGGATGAAATTTTAATTGTTCTGTATTGCATTTCTGTTTATAAAGGCCGGGCAGTAACTACAGTGTGTTTTTCTTCCATATGTGAATCCAGATTATTGGCAGCAATGCTGGCTTTAACAAGAACCACAAAGAAAATCTAGTCTCTAAACAATTGTGGAGGCTGTCATTCTGAATTGTGTGTTGAGCTCTTCAAGCCTTGATTAATAGGACGAGGCATCAGTTCAGAATTCATATGGACTCCAAATGAAGTTCTTTGTTCCAAATGGCCTGCTCTTCTGGAGAGCGCCTGGCTTTGGAGCTAGAACCACGTCTATTCAGGACTAATTAGCTAATGCATGTAATAACTTTGGCTGTGTCTGCATGAACCGTCTTCCTGTGATGCTTTCTGCTGTTCCTAACACGGAAATGTCATGTTGCTGCTGTAGGTGTGGAGTGTGTGGGAGCTAGGGTGACCTGCTTAGTGAATCTGGAAATGCTGGAAGGTGTCCGGTACCTCCTTATCACTTTTAAAGTTGGTGGCCAGATACAATGACAATGCATCTTGGGGTTTAGCGGGTGAGAAAAGCCGAGTTCCATTTTGGTGACGTTGTCACTCAACTGTTTCTTTTCTCTCTCCAAAGAGCCATTTGGGCAACGTCTTGGTTGATATGAAGCTCATTGACATCAAGGACACTTTACCCGTGGGCTTCATCCCCATCCAGGAGACCATTGATACTCGTAAGTTGGCATCTGTTCTTCAGTCCCCTGCCTTGGGAGCAGCCGCTCCGCCGGTGCCGGTGTGCTGGGGCGGTGCAGGGCTGTGTCCCAGGCAGAGGGACACGCTCGGCTCTGGGGTTACCTGTGCGTGTCTGGGGGCAGCTCTGGACTGCAATGAAACAGCCTGTGAATTTCCTGCACTCTTCGGGCTTTTTTTGTACTGCTGCCTGACTGTCACCAGCTTTCCTGCTAGAGCAGCACAACTCTGGGGCTGGAGGGAATAGTTTATTCTTTCATTTTGCAAGGATGGACTATGCCTAGTAGGAGCAGAGCTGCTGTGCTGAGGGATGCTCACGAATAGATACCGACATGACGGGCCTGTGCTCGTGATGCTGAATTCACCTCCCTCTGTGAACAAGCGAAGGCCTGTGCACTGCAGATAGTGCTGAGGATGGTGGGATACGTTTGCACTTGCTGAGGGAAGGCACAAATGGAATGTCCAGGGAAAATACCGTCCTCGTTTCTGTGAGGCAGCAATGGCTCTGCTGCAGCGTTGAAGCCAGCAGTTCCCAAACAGAGTGTTCGGCTCCCCTGAGACTGGTGTCAGCAGCAGCTGGAGCCACGTCTGGTGGCAGTGCTCTGCTCTGCAGCAGGCAGCAAGTGCTGTGTGCTGGAGGTGCAGAGGGGGCTGGGGATGAACCCCCGGGGAGCTGAGCGTGGAGGGGCGGCAGGACACTGCACCGGTGCTGAGCGTACAGCTCCTGCTTAAGAGCAGGACGGGTACCGGCGCTCGTCGGTAATGAAATCCAGCCTGGTTGTGAGGAGAAAGGAGTTACGCGAGCCTGTTTTGCAGGGAGTGATTCATCTGGGTCTGCAGCAGATGAGGATGGTTTTTCAGTCACTACCGACCTGGTTCTGATTTGAACCCGTGACCTAGAAGTGAAAGGCTCTGCAGCCCATTTCCCATTCCTCTGGGTCACCCCTTTCCCTGGAGAATTCCTGGGCACACGTGGTGCAGGGGAGAGTCATCGGCTTATCCTGCTCGCCCTTGGGAGTGCTGGGCACTTACCGTGTGCTGCTGGGATTTTTGTGAAAGTCCTCGTGGAAAGGTGGAAGCGGACTTGGTAGTTAATTGAAAATGCATTGTATTGTGAGCCATACAATGTTTAAAGTGGAGGCACTGTCTCTATTAATGAAGTGATGCATATCCCTGCCTCTGTTAGCATGAATGAACACATTTCAATTGACTGTTTATAATATGTTTACTTAAAATTAACTCTGGTTAAGCATGTGTAATTAATGAATCCAGCTCCTAAACCAAGTTTGCTACAGACTGCAGACTCTATCCAAGGGTGAAAGCGACCAAAGACAAAAGCAAATAATCAGCTTTGTACTTGCTGTGAAAGTCAAGTAAGAAGCACTGATTTTGTTCAGAGTTGAATTTGTGGTTTTGTGTTTCTGTGCTCTTCTCTAAGTGGCAGTTGACTTGTAGTTATATTAAATACAGTACTCCTCACTAGGTTCTGAGACAATTTTCAGATGTGGAGGCCTTCAACCCTGGGCTCCTAAGATCAGTTTTGGGCACTTCAAATAAGAGCTCTGGTTTTCTGAAGCAGGAGAAGACTAGACTTCAGGGATACAGGTATTTAACATCTCTCAAAAGCAGCACTGTAACTGCAAAGCTGCGTGCACAGATGCTGTATTGTGACACACCTCGCGCTGTCTGTACATTTATTGGCGCTGGTGCGACAGCAAATTTCAGAGGCCAGGATGGATTGCTTTCTCCAAGGTGCGGATTATGAAACAGGAGGAGCCTATAGAGACAGGGCTGCTTGCCATCTGTTGAAGTGAGAGCACATTTTTAAGCTGGAGGATATTTATTCATATTAAACTGAAGGGTTTTTATTTTGCAAGCACTTGTTTGTAGTTGTTGGTTGTTTCCAGATTTTCATTCAGTGTCTACACTTTAGATTTTCAGTTTATCAATAGACTTCTGCCATGCCTTTCAAGTGCCTACATTCACAAATAGGAACCTCACCTTGCTCCCATGGAGATTCTCGCAGACTCTCTGGGCTGAGGTGGAGCAGTGGTTTCCAAGCCCCGCAGATCTGTGTCTGCATGCTGGTGCCACCCGTTGTCACACGACTGGCCCGTAGCTGGGTGTGGGTTGCATCTGCGCGCAGACAGACAACGTGCGTATACACGAGTTCATTGTACAGATGAGCCTTGACTCTGGGGGGCTGGAGTTTTTCCTGATAACATGGAAACAAGTGGAATTGCTCTGCGATGCATAGCAGGACAGGGTCACGCAGCAGATTCATCCACCCTCCGAACACAGGTCAGCGCGGCACGGTTCCCCATAGGAGGTCTTGGCAGTTCCTGCTTTGTAAGTCTGGTTTACCCCTGTGAAGATACCAGGGCAAAGACGGTGGGAGGATCACTTCAGTGCTTGCTGACTGAGTCAGGAGAGGTCGTGACTCTTAGGATGTGTAGGTTTGGGCAGAGAGCTTTGCTGGTCAGCACTCTGCATGGCTTCTCGTTCCCTGCCCGCTCCTCCTCTCGGCTGGGTGGGCTGTTCAGAAGCACTTGTCGGAACAAACGGACCGGCTGCGCGAGCAGCTTCCAGGTGTGTTCCTAGAGGCGATGCTTGTGCGAGGAATATTTAGATAGGACTATCCAGGCTGGTGAGGCAAACAGTGCCATGGAAAGAGAAAACAAATGTAAGAAGTATGTGGAAGTGGAAAAATCACCTGCCATTCTGTTCTGTGGCGCAGTGCTCGGTGGCGTACGTGATGTCTTATCTTCTCTGCAGAGGGTAGTAGGGAGTATTGGTTTATCTCAGTGCCTAATAACAAATCTCACACAATGTACAGAGAGCTCCTGATAGAAAATTTCTCCAGTCACTGAATGGCACTGCGCTGTCTGGTTTGCTGACATATATCTGTTCTTTGGCTCCAGTTCCTGCCATAATTATCTGCCTAATATCTGGAGAGATAATAAATAACATTTATACCCTAATCTTGCATAAAAACCACCCTGTGTCCTGGGTTGTTTTTGCAGAAGAAATAGCTTTCAGAAAGAAGAGGCTGTGCATTAAATTCATCCCTCGAGATTCTACAGAGGCAGCGATCTGTGATATCCGAATCCTGGGCAGATCTAAACAAGCCCCTCCTCAGTACACGTTCATAGGGTAAGTACCCCTCACTCCAGACACTCTTATCATAAATTCAGTTGTACCAAGGCTAAGCCCCCTGCTTTTCTGTAATTGCTAACTAGCAGCTGGTAAGAGCTGAAGCTTGTCATTAGAAAAATCTCTGTAAGTACAAGTTCCTGAGTCTGAGGTAGGAGTTGACTAACCCCCTTTTTTTTCCTAGTTGGCCTGGTTCTCACTAACCAAGGCGTTTGTGAAACACGTCAGTACTTCATACTTGTGCCGGTGTGCAGCATTTGCCTGTAGCATTAGTGTCTTCTGTGTTGATTACACAGGGAGCTGAACAGCATGGGCATTTGGTACCGGATGGGCAGAGTTCCACGCAACCACGAGTCTTCACAGCCTGTGACGCCTCCTTCCCAAGCACCGTCTTCGACACCAGCTCCTAACCTGCCGAGGTGAGTTTTCTGCTTTCCAGCCCCTTCTGCTCGATGCTGCATGGTGTATTGCTGCTAACCCTGCCTGGTGGAATCCAGAGCGGTGTGCCCCAGCAGCATGAACAGTTACGTGGCACGACCCGATAATGAGGGCATGTGTTGTTCTTTTCAAGTATTTGCCTACTGGAAGTTCCTTTGGCTGTTGTATAAAGACATCCAGGTGAAGAAGTCAGAAGGAAGAAAAACCTGCAGAGGAAGGGAAACGGCAAACCTACCTTTTCTTTGCTTTAAACTGTGTGGGATCTTGTAATTTCCAGCGAGTACAGGTGGGTCACCCCTGGAGGGAGGGCCAGAACTGCAGCCAAGCCCGTTTCTCTCCTTGGCCAAAGGGAGGGAGAAACATTCGTACAGATTTTAATGCACAGGGAGAAAAGTTTTGTTCATTCTCTAGAATCGGTCCACTCATGTTTTGAAGTACCGGCCCTGTTTTCTCTTTTCTGGAACCCGACTGCTGTGCTCCAGCCTCGTGGCTGCCATGGCGCGTGCAGAGCAGACCGCTCCTCCTGCGCTCGGACGGGAGCGGCTCTTCGGGCACGCTGTCTGTCCTGGGTTACTGACGGTATTTGTGTGTGTGTGCACACTTGTGTGTGTAATTGCATATCATGGGAGTCCTGAATCCACAGCTTGCTTGCTGGATTTCTCTGGACAGAACAGAGTGGTGTTAAGCAGCAAACTGACCCGGGCAGAGGTTAAACTTTTTACTCCTGGCGCTGGCTGTGAAAGCACAGCACCCAGCGTGGGACAGGCTCCTGCTGCTGAGGCTCATTGACTGACCGCGTGCCGGCTCATTGACTGACCGCGTGCCGGGGTATTGCTGGGGACGGCACGCTCTCTGCGAGTCCCTTTGGGCTTTTGCTCTATCAAGTGAACACGTATTTTTGCACTAGGCATTTGGTAAACTGCAGGTGTGTTTGCACACACAATAACTGTTGAGAGCTGGAATTTTGAAGGAGACAGTGGAAGGGAATTCCAGGGGGATCATACAATGGTCATTGTATAGTACGGGTGGAAAATACTCATATCCCTCGGAGTCCTGATTTACAGGTCATTTCAGAGAGTGGCGCTTTTAAACTGTAGTAAACTGTTCCCGAACAAGCTATCGGGTGTCTTTTTAAGGCAGGTGTGTACATTTGAGTCTTCACCCGTGACCCACAGTTAAATCTGCTGTCTTGCGGTGGCTCTTTGAGCTCTGCGAAGCACGAAGGTGTTCCCTTCACTGCGAGTTTTGCTCCGTCGCTTGCCATGGCACGCTGCGTGCTGTCCTGTGCTGTCAGGTGTGCTGCAGGCTGAGATGCTGTCTTGCTTCGCACAGAGATGGAGGCAAAAGAGATGAAAAGCCAGCAGTCTTCTGGAGATTTCAGCCTGTCCCACCGGGAGCAGATAGGTTGTTTTGAAGCTCCGCTGGACATAAGCTACATGCTAGCACAGGCCATGCGAGATCAGAGAAAAAGATGTCCTGATTTCAGAGCACAGATCTTCATTTTCTGTCTGCAAGAAATTCTTGCCTGGGCAGATTTCCACAATAAAGAGGAAAAATTATCATAGCAAGAGAATGTCAATGGCGGTCCTTAATCACTGAGTGTGGAAGGGTCACTTTATGGCCGAGCGGGGAAGGCTGCAGAGCAGCGTCAGAGCTGTTGGGAACTGGGCCAAAATTAGAGCTCAGAGCATCAGCGACAGTCTGAAAATAAGTGTTTACAAGGCTTATATATTTTATAACCTCTTGTTGTACAGTTTATGGTTTACAATGGCTGCAAGGAAATTGGATCAGTTTTGTTTTACTTGCCAAATAAAGCAAATGTCAAAATAGTCAATATAAAATGTATTCTAATTTGGCTGAGTTAAAACAGCCAGTATGCAGTGGAATAATTGAATGTTACGTTAATGCCTCCTAGTAAAAACCACCTGTCTGTAGCCAGCTCCACTCTCATGCCCTGGGCGTGATTTACAGGTAACTTTTACACCACCAGCCTGATCATTCAAAGCATCTTTCATGTCTGTTTTTTTACTCTGATTATTTATTATCCAATATATTTTTTAAGAAATGGAAACGTATATAAAGGTGCATCCTGAAAACATTTCATCATTACGGGAAACACACACTACTTGAAAGCCTTTTCTGATACTTTATCAGCAATGTGGTGAGTTACTCAACACTTAATGTTTGTGGAAGATTGTAGTCACAAGTAACCTCTTATTTTTACGTCACCACAGAGAGATGAGATCACACTGGTAGTCAGTTTGCTGTTTTATTCCGTGTGGATATATCCTGGCAGGAGCAGCAGCGAGTTACTCTGAGGCTGCCGTGAGTGCTCAGAGAAAATGGGTGAGCAGCGCCAAACAGAGAGGACTGCGGAGATTCTGCCGTTAGGCTGGTCAGATATTTAAGCTATTCTCTTCAGTTGCTGTCAAGCATTATAAAATAATTTTAAATCAAGAGAATATGCTTCGGTGCTTCAGAACAATTGCTAACACTGGATATAAACTAAACCATTAAAACACACCAGTGAGCTGCTGCACAGCAAAACCTTCCTAAATGGGAGGATGTTTTGCTGTGGGAGATGTTTATTTCTGCACTGGCTGTAAGTTACTGATGGCAGCGGATGGTGGCACATCAGAGTTTTGTTGTGTGTCAGAGGTTTGTCCTCTGCAGCTTGCTGCGCGTCAGCAGGGCTGCTGCTGTTGCGTGTGTCGCAGGGTTACGGCTCGCGGTCAGAACTGCACAAGGGGAGGCTTAGTTTGATATTCGTGCTGGACTGCATGTGTTATTTTTAAGCCATTTCTTCTCCTTGGTGTTTCCTAGTGCAGGCATCTAGCTTAATAGTCTCTAACGGCAGCCCTTGCGCATCCCGGCGAGGATGGCATGCTGTGCTGTGGAGCGCAGCCGTGCCGTTGTGCAAGGCATCAAGCTGCTTTACTGTCTTTTCTCTCCAAATTCTGCGACAGCTTCGCACTAATGGCAGCCTGGAGAAATGCACTTGCAGTTTCCCATCCTAGAAGGCTGCTGCTACAGAACTGCTTTTGTTGACTTGAGTCGCCAGCGGGAGTTTAATGTGACTTTCCTCGGTACCTCTGCTCTGTGCTCGAGGCTCGCGCTCCGCGGTGCTGCGTGGCGACATGGCTTTGGGGAACAAGAGAGCAGTCCTCCCCCAGGAGAGGTGCTGGTGACAGGGCACTCCTCTGGCCCTTTGCACTCTTGCTTCACCCAGCGTGTGGGTCGGCGATTGCCAGCGCGTGGACCGGGGACTTGGGGAAGAGTGCACGTCACGAGCGTTTGAGCCTCGGGGCTCAGTCCCACCGGGTAGAGCAGGATTTGTGTGACATCTCCTCTTCGAGTCCAGCTCTGGCCTTTTGGGGGCAAGTCCCTGGTTTCTGTGAATGCACGCGGAGCCGACCTCGAGCCGTTCTGCCTTGTGTCTGCCTGTGCAACGGCTTCCGTCACAGCCGCGGTGCTTTGTGAGCCATGGGGCGTCCACGGTCTGAGCGCGCCTTTTGCACCTTCCGAGGTGCTGCAGGAGCCTCTGCCACCGCCGCTCCAGCAGCCCTCTTGCAATTTGTCAGCTGCAAGCAAGATGTCAGTCAGTGCTGCTGAAGTGTGTTTTACAGTGACAGACATAATTGCACTTAACTTTTTGCGTGGATGTTATCAATCTGTGACAGATACTTTGGGAAATGGAGCTCTCTGATTGCAGATGATGTGTCATAGGCGTTTAATCTTCCTCTCGGAGAGACCGGGATTCAGTCACAACTTTTACTTGTTGATGTCAGGTTTTGAAAATGTAGATTCGTGCTGACCCTGGGAATCGTTCAGTCATTTAGTTTGCAAGGCTGTCATCTGAAAGGTTAATGGCTTACCAGGGAGAAGGAAGAGCTTGCTGCAATCCGCTTATATTCGTATCATGTGTTGGCGTAGCTGGGTGCTCAGTGTTGGGGTTCGGAAGGGCAGAACTCTTCCGGCTGCCTCCTGGGATGCCTGTGGCACATCTCCGTGGCTGTTCTGAGATCCACAGCGGTAGGGGTGAG